TGTCATAAGGACATGAGAAAATGAAACATGGTGCCATAGGGATATCACTTTTCCTGTATGAGGCTCTCTGCAAGCTCTGCATGCAGCTTGGGGACCTGGAGGCCTCCATTCTCTGGTGGCTAAGATTGTCTCCCCTCTGGCATTTGCATGAGCCCAACATTTCCAGAGAGTTCTCTCAGAAGCAAACTGCATTGTCTCTTGTCTCAGGATGATGGATTTAGAAGCAGTGTGTGAACTGGCAGGATCACATTCGCCACCAGACTCACCTGCTCTGATTTTTCTGTGTGGAGTGATGCTCCACAGGATGTAGATCTCTGAAAGATGTACATTTCAAATGGCTTTTGTCTTTGCTAGAATTCATCTAGCTCCCTATAGGATACTATAATCTACTATTGCATGTGTGCTTCAAATTATCAGACGATTTCTAAGTAGCTATGCTAACAAACCAAAACTGGGTGGAACAATTCCAAGTCACTAGTGAAGTCACTGTCAGCATTGAAATGCTGTGGTGCATCAGCAACAGCAGAGTGACTCACAAGGTTCTGTCATTTAATCCTGTTCCAGTAAGCCTCCACCTGGGAAGATCCCTAGGCCACCCCACCCTCACAGGCAGGCACTGCCCAGGGAGAGACATCTTCTTTTACTCCAAATTTCCTTTTGCTTTTGGTCCACACCTCCATGTCTTCATTACATACATGTTCTTGCCTTGAAGGTACCATAACGTGCCACTGCAAGGCAGGAGCTAGGTGAGTAGTGGCTTGGTGTCTGTCTGCTAGGTCTGCAAAGGGCACAGCTCTACTGGCAGCACTGTGACTGCAATGATCACTTCTATCAGTTGTGGATCTGGCATGAAATATCCTCAGGCAACCATTTGTGGTGAGAGGGATAAAAGAAGGTCAAGGAACCTTATAAACTGACACAACACAAATGCAGCATGACTCTGCACATGGGGTTGACTTTCTTCACAGGAACTTAGTGATTTCTAAATGTGGGTGTAGCTGCTGCAGATAAGAATGTCTATGAAATCAGAGACTTCTGAAATCAGAGTTGTTAAATCACAGTTCTTGATTAGTATTGAGAAATGGGATGGTGAAGGGAGGCTTCTCTGCAAGAGTCCAGGCACTTAAGAAAGCCTACCAGGCAGAGGACTGCTGTTGAAAGTGTAAAGTGATGCAGTTGTCATCTCAGTGAAGTGGTTTTGCCTAAGTCACACCACCTAACAGATGGGACCAGCTTAGATTGCACCAAGGGACAGGTAATACAGCTCAGCAGAGCCTTGATTTGTTGTGGACAGCCCTACATCCATCCTGCAACTGTAGGGCTTTTAGAACCACGTAGAAGCCTAGAGTTATGTTGACATCTAGGCACCAAGGTACCCTAATGTCCCAATCAGTCTGAGCTCTCAGGCTGTATTTAACATTTGCCATTGACCATAAACTTAAGAGACACTTCAGCTGCAACATTACAGTAGAGTAAGGTTGTAATTCTGCAGTATGGGAAAGCAACGGTTAGACAGAGTGACTCCTACAGAAGGGACTCTGTGGATCATTATGGAGAGAAGCTGGAGCTGTGGAAGGGACTACACAGCTTACCTCTAACAGTGGATTCCCTGCCTGAATCCCTGCATTGGAGATGAGTCTTGCACATTTTGTAACAGCAGCTGTGTTGGATATTCTGCACTGAATTGGTCTTGGAAGATGTCACTCCCCCATCACTGTCACAGGACCTGTGTACAAATTTAACATAGGTGCAGAGGGATAAATTTTATGGACATAACTTCTACTAATTTCAGGTGACCAATGTGTATGGTGGAGAATTAGAGCAACAAAACCTTATGACCAAGGGTGCCAGTTTTACCTCTCCATTCATTAATCAGTATGAAAAGATTTAAATATTTCATGGTTTAGAGCATTTTAAAAAATGAGAACACTGATGCTCGATAGTGCTAGCTAGAAACATTTAGAACCCTGTGGATGTACATCTGTATTCTGACTCGTTACCAACACATATGATTTAATCTGGATGTTTTCCACAATGTCACTATTTCTTTTAGCACATGCTATCTGAGCTGTTTTTGGAGGTGAACACTATTTTGATTGGCCTCAGTTGAGAAACCTTCAGCTGAAGGAGAAGTACATGGACCTGTCTTTTATCAAGCAGATAAGAAAATAGTGAGCCTGAAGTGGAGGTGTCAGGGCAGGTACAAAATGTTCAAGCTTTTTGAGTCATTTAAAGCAACAGAAAGAAGACAGTCACTCAGATAAGGATAAAGGTGGGAGAAGTTAAGTTGGATATGGAGGCAGAAGGAGCTGGAATGAAGCAGCATAGAAGTGCATTGTCCAGCTAACAGCCTGCAATTTCTTCAAACCAGAGAGAGGCCCCAAACTCCAAACTGAACATTGCTTTCCTGGTGTTGGGAGAAGCTCCTCAGAGCCTTTGGCAGCAATCTAGGCAATAGATAGAGGAATTCTTCAGTATTAGCTGGCCATGCCTGTGTACGTTTGGTTCAAAATGGACCAGCTGTAGCCTACACTCTTGTGTTTTAATACTGATAAAGTCAAAAATTAAAGTTGGATAGAGGACTTGGCACGGCATGCTTAAACCTGTGCTCTCTTCTTATAATGTAGCTATAACAATGTATTTTTTATGCCAATATAGTTAGTGTAGTTTTTCCAATAGCTTAATAAGAAGGTTTTTTTTTTTTCCTTCAAGGTGCTGAATACTCTTTTTTCCCTTAAATTATTGAAATTCAGGATACAATACCCTTGCAGGGGTAAGCCCTATTTTCCAAATCCAGGCAGAATTTGAGGAAGACCAGCTTCAGTTTGATTCCCCTGGTTTAACATTGCACATGCTGAAAAGAGAAAGCAGCACAAAAAGCAAACGAGGTGAGTTCAGAGGATTGGAATTGTCTTTTTTACAGTATTGCTTCTGTTTTACACCTTGTCCATTACATTTGTGAATGATTAATTAAGTTCTAAGTGATTAGATTAGGCAAATGTGCTGACTCAAAATAGAATTGGAATGGAGGAAGAAATGAAAGGGAAAAGGCATAGTAAATATACAAAGCCTTTTGCAATAAGCTTTTTTTTTGCTAGGTCAAGGTAATAAGGTTTCATTAGATTAGGGCATAAATGCATTTAGCTGGAATGACAGCTGCAAAATAAAACTTAGAAATATCTGTATTCAGACTAATAGAGATGTTCAGAACAACACAGACACAGGAATTATCATGCCTCCAAACCTACTTTATATACCTGAAGTAACCAGAGTGAAGACTGTTGACAGAGGATAGGTTTTTAAGGATTTAGACCCCAAATCATGAAGAAATAGCTTAGGTTTTCAGACTGAGAGCAATAGAAAAAATGTTCTCACCACTGAGAGATGTCCCAGCTCCCACTTGAGCATCAGTACGCATGTTTCTTATACCCTCACTTCTTGTTTGATTACCTCCTGGAAAGATTCTTTCACCTCCTTCCATCCCTAATCATAGGGAACATCTCTCCAGAGCATTTTTTTCCCATTATTTTAATCCCCACCTGGTCCTGAATATCTGGAATTTGGAGTTTACTGATGGCACGGGGCACATTTTGCAGGTAGTAGCTGTTCAAAGGCAACTTCATAGGCAACACAGGTGAGAAGATCTAGACTTGCTGACTTCTCTTTGACTGGTAGGCTGCCAATGCTGCAAAGAGAAGAAGCAGGGGATAGGAAATCAATCTTACTGTGCTGGCTTTTCTAGAGAGTGGATTAGAAAGAAACAAGTACAGTAGCTGCCAACTGTCCTTACTCATTTTGAGTAATCTTGACTGCTCAGGTGTTTCTTGGAAGCCCATCTCTAATCATTAACTTCTCACCATGAGTCATGGAAGTACCTTTGGTAGCCAGCTCCCTTGACCAAATCTCAGTTATGATAAATAATAAACTGAGAATTGGGACCTTGGTAAACTTGGTAAATTCCTGAAGGGCTGCTTTATTTTAGAACAAGATTTGTATGCAAGTTCTCAAGTCGAGTTGAAGACGTTGAAGGGGCTCAGCTGAATATTATTGTAGGAGGTTTTCAATAAGAAGAGTGTTTCCATCCTTGGAAACATTCAAGGTCAGATTGGACGAGGCTCTGAGGAACCTGATCTAGTTAAAGATGTCCCTGCTAAGTGCAGGGTGGTTGGACTAGATGACCTTTAAAGGTCCCTTCTAACCCAAAACATTCTATGATTCTATGATGATTCTATGATTTAAGAATCTTCAACCACTTCTAGTTGTGAAACACCCAGGATCAAGCCGATGTATTGTATCTGTTTTAAATTTGTGATTCTTGTTGTCTGTACTCTTCTTACAGAGATATATCACAGTTCAAGAAATGATTGTGTCTTTAAGTGTCTCCGTTTTTAAAATGCTGAAATTCTAAAGTGTTCTAGAAACTAGTTCCTTAACACCACAAAATTCAAACATTTGGAATCAATTTGCAATTTGAAAATTCAGGTTGTTGTATATTTAGTAAAACAAAACAAAAAAACATTCCATTCACATAAAAAAATACATTGGTTTTATAGTCATAAAAAGAATTTTCAGATGTAGTTTTTTTCTTTGGAAGCTAAACCAGCTTCCCATGAAGTATAACTTATAGAATAACCATTAAGCATATTTTAAGGCAATATATAATGTTCATCCTTGTGATTTTCTGCAATTGATACATTTTGACTATCACATCATTACTTTATCTGGAGAGCTAATAAATGACAAATGACATGCACTTTTTCATGACTCTGCATTTCAGGTATTTATCAAATTACCTCTAATATTTCAGTTGCCTTTATCAGTTACCTGGAAAAATCAATATCTGACAGGACTCCATGGTGTGTAATGAAGTATATAAGCATGAAATTCGTATTGCTCGGTCTCAATTTGTCACTTCAAACCATCTGACTTAGAAGTGACTCTTAAATCCTCTTGTTATTTCACCGTTATCTGATTTGAAGAAATCCAAGACTTAAGCAAACATGTCCAGCTCCAATGAGGCAGAACTCATTCACATGTTTAAGGGGATTCCTTTCACCATCAGGTCTTCTCCAGAACTTTTAAAATCCTTGGATACTTTTGATGCTAGAGATGATGATGTCCTTTTGGTTTCCTATCCCAAATCTGGTAAGTTCTACTTTTAGTTATTAATTGCAAGAATTCTCAATTGTTTTCTTCATGTTCTCTGTTTAAACTACTTGGGAAATATCTGTGTACAAGAAGCAAAGAAGGATGTATTACTATGTGAATATACTATTCTGTCAGCAAGTGTTCAAGTTACAAAAAAAAGGGGGGAGGGGCATTTATCTAAATTTGATTCTTTAAGTGAAAATAATTAAAGCTGTTTTCATATTGGAAAACAAACAAATATTTATTTCTTGTAAGCAAAATCTGTACTTGAAGGATTTTCCTGAGGACTTTCTACATTCAATTATGAGACAGTCAAGAGCTGTATCAAGTTATTTGTATGGCTCTTGTCTGTAGATTTATTAATTTCTTATTCCCTCTCACCCCACCTCACTTGCACACAGAAGCACCCATCAAAGAAGCTCTATCAGTGCTCCCCAAATATATAGGCTCAAATTACTATAAGGAAAAAAAATCCCAGGTTATTCTAAAATTAATGATAAAAATAATATAGTCCCTTCTCAGCTGACGAGCAGTTTGTCTCAGGAGATTGATTTGGTACCAGTATTAAGACTTCTCACAAAGTTACTCTGTACTTCAGCTACAGCCCTAATTTTCCCAATATTTATGCATTTGGAGCCAACAGGATTCTTGAGTTATGTAAAACTTCTCAAATCTGGGGGACTAGAAGTATCACTTGTGCAGTAGCAAGCTGATTGGATATGTAAAACATGTTCCACCTATTTTCTCAGCAATAAATCTTCCTTTTATTTATTTTTTTTTTATTACTTTCCTGCAGGCACTCACTGGCTTGCAGGAGTTATAACCAAGCTTTACAATACTCAAGTTACACTAACATCTCCCATCGAATTTGGAGACATATCCAAACTGGAGGAGCTGAATAAACTCTCATCACAGAGAATCATCCCAACACACTTAGACTACAACATGTTACCTCCAAATTTTAAGAATAAAAAATGCAAGGTAAGGCAAAACCCTATAGATTAAGTAAGGTATGTTAAGAGTGTGTTAGGAATCTATTTTGTCTTGTTGTTCCTTAATAATTTTTGAAAGATTTAGAGTTTCCAGAAGTGTTTGGCTATGAATTTTGGAGACAATTAGGTGTCCAGTAGTCAAAGGCAGCGTGAACAGTGACTTGAGCTGGGGACTGTGTTCTGCTCCTGCCCCACTGCTCCCATGGGGTGATTTGTATACCAGACACCACACAAAGTACATAGTCTTTTAATCAGAAGTATATTTTTAGTCATGGAGAGTGTTTTCATGGTGCCATTTCCTACTGGGTGAAGCATTTGCTTAGAAAATAGTTATCCTGCATACTTATGGGCTGTTCTGGGGATAAAAATACTCTGCCCCTCCTACTGCAGCTTTGTGAAGACCCTATAAAGGAGACATTGGAGAAACAAGAATGGGAATGTGGTAGGTGGATTTTGACCAGAGTTTTGGGTTGCTCCCACGCTAAAGTGTGAGGTCTTAAAAAAAATCAGCTCTGGGTCTCAGGTTTTAGGTTAGAAGTGGAAAATTTCAGAATTACTCAGGTTACTACTTTTGGGACAAGGCTAGTGTGAAGGAAAGGCAAACATTTGTGGTTTGCAGCTGTCCTGTGAATGTTAGTTAGTAAAGGGTTTCATATGTTAGGCTTGTGAGATAGTATGCTGGCTCATGAGATAAAATGAGCACAGCCTCTTTCGTAAAACATAAACATTACTCAGCTCTGGGACACACCTCTGTCCACATGGAATTGTTTATTAACCACTACTGACTCCTGCCTCACCAGGGGCAAAAGCATTTCTGTTTCAATGGTGTGGTCACTGAGGGAGGAATCCAAACGCAAAGAGTTTTGACACTGCAAACTGCCTGTGAAAATGCTGCATTTACTCAAATAGCTCCTCTAAAAGAAAGATATTATATCCATAACCATATTATCTTCATCTACAGATGATCTACATCAGCCGAAATCCAAAAGATACAGCAGTTTCCATGTTTCATTACTACAGAGACAACCCAAATCTTCCCACTGTAGACACCTGGACTGCTTTCTTTGACTTGTTCTTAAAAGGAGATGGTAAGGAAATGCTCCATCTTCTCCTTGCAGCTCACATTGGCCTGTTTGGCACAGAAAGTGTTAAGAAAGATGAACTGCAAAACTTCCTCATTGAACTCCTTATTCCTATGGCTTTAGTTGGGGTTTTCTTTCAGGATAAATTCTAAAGCCAAAATAAGTGATCAAATAATAGGCTGCTATCTTTAGACGTTTTGATAAGTGGCTGCATTATTCCAGCACCACTGCCCTTGGCAGGTTTTGGCTGCTCTTTGACATACCCATTAAAAAACATTCTCACAGACAACTACTGATTTTTTTTTCTTCCCACAAACACTCTGAAGCCCCTGACAACCTGTTGATGCTGATGTGGATTTGCCTGTGTTAAAACCTTTCCATCCTTGTCTTGTGAACCACAGTGAGAGACTGCTTCCCACAAAGAGTTTAAACCATGGTGGAGGAGGTGTCTTCTCTGGAAGGCGGCCTTGGATGGCCTTCAAAGGGAGTCTAGATGCTTCCATAAAGCCCTGCTGGATGCACTCTGCATGATGTGTTGTTTTAGCAGTGGGGTCCAAAGGGCAAGGCCAAGAGTGAGACTTTTATGAGTGGCGGGCAGTAATTGGCACAGAAGCTCAGAACAGGGCCACGTTTCAGTTACCCACTCCCATTTTTAGTGTTTTATTACTGCTGTTACTGCTATACAACCACAGCCACGATAACAGCAACAATGATAGACTGCCCTGAAAACGTGGAAAGTGCCAATGTAGTCATCATGGGTTTACATCAAAGCTCCAGAAGTCAATTTGTCTACTGTCCTGTGTGGGCTTTGGCTCAGATCTTGTGTTCCTAGTTCAGAGCAGCCCTAAGGCACATGCTTCAGTGATTGGTAGGACCTTGGCTTGTTTTGTATCAACTATAAACATACAACTAAGAAAAAAAAAGAGGATCCTATGAATTTTTAAATTCAGATCCTACAGTCTATAATCTCTAACCTATAATCTCAGTCCAGAACAAGGCTGAGGACACACAGAGACAACTGTGGTGCCTTCCCTGGAGTCTCTGAGGCTGTATGCTGTACCCCTGAACCCAACAGGGCTGTTCAAGCTATTGCTGGTCACATCCTCATTGTGGGTGACCAGGAGAGCAGGGTTTAGCTGGACACTAAGCAGCACACATGCCTTGGAGTTAGACAGCTACAGTCTGGTACATGCAGCAAAATACTTCATTACACCTCAAGGTTTGCAGCCAAAATTATGTCTGTTACAGCATCACACTTTTTTGGGAGTGGTTATGAAGCAAAGTCAGTGTTTGGAGAATTCTGGCTGTGATTGCTCTGTCCAAGCCTCTTCTCATCACCCTATAGGAGCCTTTCAGCTCAGCTTTCAATGCAGCCTGTCTTGTCTTTCAACCAGAAGGGTCAGAATGATTTTTTTTTTTAAAGAAAGCTGAAATTTAGCTCTCTTTCCATGGCAAAAGGAACAAGTACTTACAAAACAAGTACTATGAGTCCACTATGAACCCATTAGCTATCTATGTCGTTGACTGAATGATGTATGTGCATAATAACTTCTTTACATAATTCTTCTTTGATTTTAAAAAATATTAAAGATTCCTCTCCGCTAGGACAAAATAGAGCTAACAAGAGAGTGCTCCATTTAGAAGACTTCTCATGTCATTTCCTAGTGAAGTGATGGTATTTCTAGCTGTGCCCACAGTTATGCAGACATTTGCTGAGGTGCTCAGATCTTGTTAGGCCAGTACATTTCCCTTCCTTAGTGGCCTCTCCTGAGATTTGGAGCCTCTTTGCACTATAGAATCGTATCTCAGAACAGTATCTGCACCTCTGATACAAAACCAAATTCCAACAAGAATGGCAGCTGTAAGTTTCAGTCACATCACAAAAAGAATTGAATCCATTTTAGAGGAATACAGGGGACACACTAGGAAGAGATCATTCCCCTGAATGTGTGAGATACAGTCAGGAGTTATTTATGAATAAAGTTTATGTTATTCTCTTTTACACGATTTTTCTTCTCAGTTGTCTGTGGATCCTGGTTTGATCATTTCCTAAGTTGGGAAGAGCATGCAAATGACAAAAACATCCTGTTTTTGTTCTATGAAGACATGAAGAAGGTAAATAAGCTCTCTGCTCTTATTTCAGAATATATTACTTGTAAATTAACGTCATTAAAATATCAAAGAGCAAATTATAATGGAAAAGGAAAAAAGGAAAATGTGAATGTATGAATTTGGGCATATTTTATATTTGCATAGAACATTATACTAGTGAGCTAATTCTGACTGCACAAGTTATAGAAATATTAATTCCTGTGAGGGTTTAACTTCATAGATGCAGGAGTGGGACACATACTACATTATTTTCCTTGGGCTATAGGAAGAATTTTAAGTTCCTAGTTCTTGGTCCTGTGGAAAGGCAAACCCAGGACATCTGTCGAGGGCCACAAAATGGCTATGCCTGTTATTTAGGTGAAATTTTCAGAAAATGATGTATGACAACAGAACTACTTGTGGTCAGTTGGACTTGTGCTCCCAGTAAAGAACAAAATCAGAGGCTAAGGGGGCAGGAAAAAAGTTTTTGTGAAATGAAATTACTATGCAGAAAATTCAAATACCAACATACCTTAGCTTTCAGAGAATGGATTTTTGGATGAATAGAAAACACTTTCTAGTGTTTCCATTAATCTGGTTTGGTATATTTTGGGGGAAAATAAAAAAAAAAGATCCAGTACAAGGAATTTAAACAAGCCTTTTTGGATCCTGAGTAATACTCTACTTACACAAAAGCTGGGCTTTGAGTATCTCTCTATTCCCAGTGAAATAACTCTGAGACACAAGAATGCTTTGACTGAACTAGGAGTAAAATTGGCAATGTAACTGTGTTGGATATCATATACTCTGCATTGACTTTTTTCTGTGAGTATGGATAAGAGGGGCATAAGGCTTATTGTAGCTGTCATCTACACAGTCTAATGGCATGTTTAGCTTTCCTTGAAAGCAAATAAATCTGTGATAAACTTAATATGTAACAAAGGATCATTTTCATATCAGCTAAAAGTCTCATAATCAGCTTAGAAATACAAAAGCTTTATTTTTTTGTACTTCAGGATCTCTTTAAGATTGTAAAGGAAATGAGTCTGTTCCTGGGTTTAAACACCACTGACAATGATATCCAAGACATCTGCCAGAAGTCTTCTTTCTCAGAGATGAAAAGTGACACAGAAAAGGAAAACAGTGATCCCAACCACACTGTTTGTGCACTGACATCCAACAGGAAGCTCATTTTCCGAAAAGGTAAGTTCCCTGGGCCAGGTTTAACACAGCAGAAGGAGGAACTAGAGAAGGATTTAGCAGAAGGAATTCAGCTAGAAGCCACAGTCCAGGTCTTTCCTGGGCTGCAGTGCTGCTCTGTGTCAGCCTCAGGAAGCAGTGGCAGGATCTTGCAATTTGGAGCCATTTTAAAAGTCACTTTCTTTCTAAATTTGCCGTTTGCAAATCCATGCTTAAAATCCTTTTTTTATACTAGAGAAGCATGGAAGAGCCTGAAAAACAGTCTGACTGATATTGCTCGATGGGAGCTTTGGAGATAAAAGGAAGGGCTCACAAAGCATTACTCTTTATCTGTTGTTTTTTTTTTTATCTCAGAGTTGACCACCTCAGTCTTTTACAGCCTGTCCCCTTGAAATTACCTGCAAAGGTCACTTAGTTTACTAGAATGAGAAAGAGCACGACACCTTCCTACCAAAGGAGACTGCTTGTAGCCTTTATCCTCTGCACCATCTCTTATCTTACTGAAATGTTCCTGAAAAAGGAATATGCTGACAATGACAGCAATGAAAAAAAGGATGACTCAATCACCTGATGGCCTCATAGGTAGCCTTCAAACCTTGGCCAAGCCGGAATCCACAGTAAACACTTCAGTAGTGCTTAGCTCAAATGTAACTTTAAATTACCTACAGGAGCTGTTTTCCTGCTTCTGGCATTTCAGAAGGTTTCTTGGATTTGGATAAGTATCTCAAACCCATCATGTTTAGGTGGATTATTTTTACTCAGTTATTTTTTGAACAATAATCAACAGTTTAAAACTAAGAGCTGTTTAATACATCGGGAAACGGTGCATTTTGACAATTCAGAATGTTTTTACCAATGAGCTGAAGCAAATGCCCAAATACAATCTGTCAGCAAAAAAATCAAAAACCTCAGAAACACTTTTCTAAGCTAGTGAACTTTGACAGAGCTATGTTGAAAAATCTGAAAAATCCCAACAGCTTCACTTCCAAGTGATTCCTATGCAATCCCAGGCTTTTAGCTAGCTTCAGACAGTTTACAGAAGTTTTGTGTGTGTCTATATATTATTCTTCAAGTTCTCTTTTCTTGTTCTTGCTGGCCAGAATGCTGGTTTAGTTGGCAGTTTTGGGATGCAGGGTCTTTAGACGATGCACATGAAGGGAAAGTGTAAGCATTTTCACATTAGAGTATGTCAGTCTAAAACAATTTCATTTTTGGTCGAACTGGATGACAGTTGAAACACTTTACTGAACATGAATGTGTGTGGTCACCCACTTAAGGAGTGGGACATCTCACCCATACAAAGCCCTAAAGAGTGGGTGTAAGGGTGGGATTCATCTATCATTCAGGTCATTCTTGGCTCCTTTTTTAAGAGTCTTCTTTAGTCAAAGTTGTTGGCACTCAACTAAGCCTGAAGCTGAAGGTTTAATACCCTTTATGGGTGGTGATGCAACTGCTTCCATCAGAGTCTTGCCAGACTGATAATAACTCATGGTCATGACCTACTGCACTCAAGATCATGACCTATCACAGAGGCTATGGGTAATAATAATTAAAAATTTGTGCCAACTGCAACATTAACAAAATCATTTCCTGTACTATATTTTCCTACTAGCCTCACTGTTTGTTTTCTGCCTCCACTCTCCTAGGTGCTGTTGGTGACTGGAAGAACCATTTCACTCCAAAACAGAATCGAAGGTTTGAGGAGATATTTAATGAGAAGATGAAACTCAGCGAAATGGCAAAAAGCTTTACCTATGAATTTTGACTCTGTGTGAAGAACAATATTCAGTTATCAACAAACATAGATAGAGCAATTGCTGGGAAATTCTGAAGGGGGGCTCCCATTCAGTTTGCAGTCCTCTCAATAGCAAGGATTGTCAATATGAGATCTGAGGACAGGAAAACTCTGACACAATGCCAGAGCTGAACTCAGTTTTCAGTGGGCAGATGTTTATGGTTTTACAGAGCCAGGTGTCAGACCCATTTTTCTATTTTATCATTTATTTATTCTTTGCCCTAGAGGGATACAAATGGACTCTTTAGACCTGATTTAGACATTTTACAAAAGATGTTAAGAAAAAAAACAAAACAAAACACAAGATCCTGTACAAATCTGAATATATAAAAAGTCTAAAAACACATCATTAGAAAATGACCAAAGCTTTGGCCCCAGACTCACTCATTCCCTGATCTATCATGATTTGGAAAGTGCCTCTCTTATTGGACCTTGTTACTGTACTGAAGCTAAAAATTGCAGCTGTACCTTTGAAGATCTGAAGTGAAGTTTGTTTATAAAGTGTCTTTTCTTTTTTTTTACACAATATGTAGCTCTTTGATGTAACTTATTTCTGGGTTAGGTACTGCATAGTGTTTCTGTTCTGAATGCAGCTGACATAAATCCATGTCGATTTCTGCACCATATGTTGGGGATCTATAAACATGTTTGTTTTCTGTTTTGACTTTCTTCCTGCAAAATGCTTGTTTCCTGTGTTTTGAGGAGAACCCTTTCATTTCACAGTCCTTGTGCAACACAACTCAACAGTTCCACTGTGGCAAATAAAACACTACTCAGAGATAGTTTAATCTGAACATGACTTATTTATTTACCCTGCCCTGATAAGACAGATTTTTCAGGAATCTGCTGTCTGTGCTCATGTCCAAGGGACTGATCTAGGAACCCAGTGAAGATTTTTCTTTTGATTTATTCAGTCCTCACATTCAAGTTCCTTTGCAGTTGCCTTTAAGGACTCTTCTCCCCAGATTAATTCTCCCCCATCATACAATTCCAAGGCATCATCAGGCATAAAAAAAACATAGCAAAAACTGATCAAAAAGAAACTCATGTAGATAAGCACAATTCCTCCGCTATGACTCCTCTGTGCTCTGCAGGTACACATCATAACACAAGCTCATCCTCTGGGTGTGTGGCTTCTGAAAAGCTGAGGTCTGACCTCATTTACAGTGACCATTAATGTTCTCTCTACACACCCTTTCATCTCTTACCTGGCTTCTGCAAGCTGCTATCGGTACCAACTGATTTTCCATCTGCACAAATGATACAGAAGTTAGGTGCTGGAGAGAGTGGTGAAGGAAAAGCCTTTTTGGCTGCAGGGCCTTGTGATTTACGAGTTCAACATAATTTAAGGGAGGTGCTGCCCCGAGCACTGTTTTACACAAATGACCCACTTGGAAACCAGAAGTTTGTTTGTGTTGCTTTGCTCTTCTGACACTAAAATCATTCCCTCCCCCTCTAAAATGCCACGAAACACTGTTGCCCTCCTTTCAGGTGTCCTTCTTCCACTATTAATAAATGGCAAGAAATCAGATGCTTGAAAATTTTACTTAGAGACTTATTTTTTCTAGCCATTTAAGGATGGAAAAATGGCAAAGGGTCACTGGGCAAAGTTTGTAAGCAAGTTTATTAAGTGGGTTAAGGCGGCTGCTGTAAGCAGCATTTATATATATATCTATTCACTATATGAAAATGTGTATGAAAGGACAGAATGAGGCCATGCCATGTGGATCATCGAGGGGCTTAAAGCTTCCAGCCCTGAGCTGGCTGAAGGAATAGCCCTGGAATATCAGGCAGCAAGTGTTTTGCCAGCTGTCTGACCTCTAGTGCTGCATTGCAGAGTTAAATGGACTTTCAAAATAAAGTTCCTCCCAGCAACACTTTGTACTCCTCTGGCACTTGTAATCTCTGAGTATAGCATTACTCAAGGTTTACGCAATACAGCCACACCTGAGGGGGAGAGCAGCCACTGACTGGCAGGGAGTAATACCCTGAGGAAGAAAGCAGCTTCTGCTAGTAGAACTACAGGGTAGCAGGTTCACCCCAGGCACTGGCAAAGCCCAGAGCTTCTGTGGACAGTGTGGCAAAACTCGCTGATCTCAGAGGAGCAGGAAGTTAGGCTGGGCACTATTACTAAAGGACAGAGGTATGTGATGGTAGTTACTGGCAACCAGGGTCTCCCAGCAGCTACTGCACCTACCATGTCTTTCCTCCAGCTCCCCCCACTGTGCTGCTGCTCCCTCTATCCTTAGGACTGTGACAGAGGATTCAAACTCAATACTAATACTTGCTAATACTTCTAAAGAAAGAGAGATTTCAGTCCTAAAAAATATAAACACCCCAGCCCAAAACGTGCCTAGACCACAGCAACTCTAATTTCGGAGAAACAAAGCCCTGTGCTGTCTCTTTTACATGTAAATGGTTACGGTCAGGCTTTCCTACTCAGGTAATATATTCCACCTTCCTGAGCAAGGGCTCTTCTCAAGATCCCGCAGGCCAATGCTAGTGGAGAAGCAGCTATCCTGGGAACAACAGCAACCCATAGGAGCAGACACTGGTGCCAGCCCTCTGCTGCTGCAGGGGGGAGCAGCGCTGCCTCCGGCAGAACAGCGACCTTCGTTCTTCACTGACACCTACCGACAGCTGGGCTCCGACCGCAGAGCTCTGCACAAGAGGAAATCCCTCACTTCTGACTGCCAGCATGTGCAAGGATGTGCCTAGAAATGATCAGCCCTCACCACTGAGAATCTACTAGCAGCCCCAGCAGGGAGAGGGTGATCGGACAGGTGATGGCATTCATGTCATCAAACAAAGGATAATTGTGGTTTGCTGTTCTCTGTCATTTGTGACCTTGGTGAACAACTTAGTCCTAATTCAACAGGCAGGTACGTGTCACTGTGCTGCTCAAATTGCAGTTAGTTGCCTAGTTCCTTCCCTTATCTTTAAGGAGGATGAGGAATTAATCAGTCTAGTGCAATGCCTACTGGCTAAATTAAGGATTTACCTACATTGCAAGAATAATAAAAAAGAAAATGTAAACTGTACAGCACAACTTCATGGACAGACATTCTGTGATATTCCATACTATAGGACTCCACATCCACCTTACTGGGAGAGGGCAGGAGTGAGCAAGCAGCTGCATTGTGCTTAGGTGCTGACTGGGTGTAACCAGAACATCCTGAAATCTCTTGGCTTTCATTACAAATCAAATATGTATTCTCAAATAAGGAACTTGAGAAGCATCACTCTTAGGAGCTACAAGGTGCTCAGTGGCACGACTGTAAAAACCTTGCAGTGTATGAAGCACACGAGAACAAGTAGTAAGAAGCAGCTTGGCTTGCAGATAACTCACTGATTTTTTTTACAGTGAGAGAGCACAAAGACACAAGGAGGGTGATATACTGATGTGGCAAGCCAGGAGTAGGGCTTGTTTGCAAGTCATCGGAACTACTGACCATAAAACCTGTTCATATTCCAGTCTGGTGCAGATCCAGCTCCTTCAAGCAAACACGTGGCAGCATTCATAGAGTTGTATGAATCCAAAGGCAGATGATGATAAACATTTTGAAGAAGGCTTTTAAGTCCATTAGGTCAAATGAATGGGAGCATTTTATATTTGTCTAGAACAAATTACTTCATCCCATTCAAGCTTTTTAGACCAAGCTTCACTCATCAGAAGGATCAGTGACTGGTGACATCCCCTTCCAACTTGAGGCTGTGTTGCTGTGGACAAGATGTAACTAAGAAAAAAGGTGGGGGAATAAAAATAGCTGAACTCTTAAATGGACCGTCTAGGCAATTATAAGTTGTGCAAATACAACTTTAGTCTCCCCAGGGATTAGTTTTTAACTGTCCACACATTTAATACAAGACTGGCCATAGCAGCTCAGACACACATCAGTCTAACCCAGGAGCTCACTGCAGTAGTATGTGAACCGACAGGACAAGCTCGTGGTACTGCCCCAAATATTCTCCCAATCTTCAATTACATTTTGTCCCAGAACTTCTGAAGCAATCTACCATTAGTACCTATGACTAATGGATGCTGACTCAGCTGATGTCATAATACTCTCACCCAGGTCTCTGTGCACTTTCACCCTATTTTCAATTAAGTTTTTAAGATTAGATAATTAAGCCCTATCAATAATAGTAATGTCATGTCCTCTTCCTCACTGTGTCAGAGCCACACACCAACATTTTAGAATCAACCACTGATATATATATTGTGAAATAAGGATAAACACATACTTGGGTATTTCCCACACAGGAAACAGAAGAAACAACCAAGGTTCAGAACCAGAGGAACCTTATCAGGTGTTAGACTGGTGCAACCCATGGCCATAGGCTGCTCTAAGTGTGCTGAGGTTTATTACAGGTCTCTAAGCCATGTCCAGCTTTGAAATCCATAAGCTGCAAATGCTTTGAGGCCACAGGAACATTGGGAAGTACAGCCAAACACAACATGGCAAATTTATATCCCTCAGACATCTGCTTCTAGTCCCTCCTAGTTTCTTCAGTGATCTTTCCTTAGCTCCCTGTCCCTCTTAGTTTTACAGGTATCTAACACAACTCCCTTCAGTCATCCTTCTGCCAAGGTGAAGAGCTCTTACTTGGCCATTGCTTACATAGAACCTGATTCCTTCTTTTCATGGTCCATTTCATCCTTCCACAAACCCTCTGAATGCTGTAACATTTTTAACGACTAATAGAAATCCCACACAATATTCAAGAGGCATGCAGATCACTGATTTATACATTGGAATAGTTACTTTTATCCTTTTTGTTTATAGGCTCTTCCTAATAATTACTGAAATTTGGGTTGGTTTTTTTAATGGCTAGCACACTAATATTTTTTCTAGATTATAACTGCTCAGTAGAAATGAGTATTTTTTATATATGACATTAGGATTGTCTATTAAGCTCCTCATATTCTATATATTTATTTCATCAGCCCTGCTCTTTATTAACCTTAA